TCCCTGGCTCCCAGCCGTGGCCCCCGACTCCCGGCCGCAGTCCTGCCCCAGCCCTGGCCCTAACATTGGTCCCTGGCTCCTGACCGCGGCCCCAGCTGTGCTCTGCTCCCAGCCCTGACTGCGGCCCTGCTCCCGGCCCAACCTCCCAGGGCATGCAGGCAAATTACATTAGGGATGAGGGGGTGACTTAAAAATGTGGGGACCACGGCCCTATTGTGTGACACCCCCATAATTTTGTGCAACTATGAACATTTAAATAGATAAAAATCTAAACCAATAAAAATAAACATCAATATTATCTGTCAAAATCGAATTCTGCCAAGCCTATGTTTACATTAGCTCCACTTGCAATCTGCACATCAGCCGACTACAGGTACATCCTTCATGGTCCTAAAGGTGTAGGTGACTAGACAAACAAATGGATGTGGATGGTAGGGCACTGGATAAGATCTTGCAGCATAGGCGCTGACTCTGGGGCTGGGTGGAGTGGGGGTGGGACCTGGGCAGAGTTGGGGATCAAGCACCCCCCAGCACTTTGCAAAGTCGGCCCCTGCGTCCAAGAGATGTGGATGCAGGCATGGCATGGGGCACAAATGAATTCTTGGAATTCCACAGTTCTGTGAAGACTTGGCCCTGTCTCTCCTTGTGGGTGTGACACTAGTGGGAGGTGATGCTCATTGCCTTACAATCCTCTGACCCTCATCCAGAAGCAGGATCAGAGTGGGGTCCACAAGTAGGTTCCCCCGAAGCAAGACTAGAGTGGGAAGGAACTGACCCATAGTCCTGGTCTCTTCCTCCTTCCATACCTAAAGGAAGCCAGCTTTCCTCCATGCAGGGTTGGCAACTCTCACAAGTTTGTGATGAGTCTAGCAATATTTTTCATAATGCCCCCAGACTTGGAGTCACATGATGATGTGAGACTCTCAGCCTTCATTTAAAAAAAATGCAAACTTCTACCCTTGTGGCAGGAGAGAAAAGCTTCAAAACCTGAACCCAAGTGCACTCTAAAGGCGCTGAGGCAAATCACCCCGAATGCTTTATTTTATGAAAACATTTCATGATTTTTAAACTAATCTCATCATTATGTTGAGGTCTGATTGGTGATTTTTTGAACAGTTTGGGGTTATATTGTCCATGTGGGGCCTTAGCAGCGGAGGTGATCTTATATGGAGGTTTGTGGGTGGAGTGCTCAGGAAGCCAGACCCAGTGATTGTGTCGATCACAATGATACAGTAGAAATAGTAAACTAATTTATTAATCATTTTTTGCTATGTACAAGTTTAATGGAGAAATATTTGTATGAAACAATTAAAAAGAACTGGTTCTTTTTACAAACAGTAACGGCAGTGACGCAGGTAAGACCCAGGCTCGTTGTTTATTGGTCATGCTTTCGTCTGCGAGTTAGGCAGAATAGGGCCGAGCGGCAGGCACGGCGCCGTTTGTCATCCTGGGAGTTACAAAAATACACCCTCTAATGTGACAGCACTGAGACAGCAGCTAGGACAAGATACATGCCATGGGAAAGAGACATAATGAAAACACAGACACCGCTGTAACGCTGAGCAAAGAAGTCAACCCCGGAGTGATTATAAAACCTTGAGGAATGCTGACCAGGAAACCTTGTTTTCCTGCTGCTTCCTGTACCAGCCTTTAACTGACGGGCTGGTGCTGCCTCTGACAACCCTTGTATACCTTACTGGAATTGAACTGTAAATGGATCCCTGTGTTCATGGCAATAAACAGTTCAACTCTTAACTGGGATGGAAGGAGAAGTACTTGGTAACTAAAGAAGGGGACTAGGAGTTGGGATATCTGGGTTCTGACTGGATCACCTTGGTCAAGTCATGTGACTGCCCTGTGCCTTGGTTTCCCTATCTGTAAAATGAGCTATAACAATCCAAGAGTGATGTGAGGCTTATTGCGATCAAAATGTGTTAAGTGTTTTGTGGCCCCTGGGGGAAGATGCTAGAGAAGTGCAATGCATTAAAATAGTTACAGTAGGATCAAATTCTGATGCCCTTATTCATACAGAGTAGCAATTTAGTCCATATGTGGGTCCACTCATGCAGTAAGGCATTATTTAACATTATTTCCATAGTTTCTAATAGCAATATTGATCTCCTAGCCAGACATTTCCTGGCAATTCATGACCAGTTGGGTAAAGGACTCGTGGGGGGAGGCGTGGATCAGCATTTTCTTCGCACTCTCCGTCAGTACCTGGCCCAAGCCAGGGAAGCTCATGATCCAACCAGCGGACCAAATTCGGTGATGAATCCTGGTCACGTGCCGCCTGAGGCATGTTGCGCATACGCTCAGAAGAAGGATGACTCAGGACCTCGCCTGCCAATACTCAGATAGGGAGATGACAGCGCTTTGCATCGTGATAGCACTTGTTCTCTGATGAACACAGTGCACTCTCCAGAATAGTAAGAGGGTAAGTATGATCATTACCCCCATTATACAGAGGGGAAAACTGAGGCACAAAGAGGGGAAGCCATTGCCCGTGGTCTCGCAGTGAGTCAGTAATGGAGCTGAAAATAGAACCAGCAGGTATTAGAGACACAGAGACCATAACAGGAGTATCATTTTAAATATCCTTACATAGTACCACCACTTGGAATGGCCTCTTGCTATTATAAAATAACTTGGGTTGTTTGTTTTTTTTACACGGGAATGAAAATAAATTTCTGTTGAAATTCCAGACCCCCAGATCTAATTTGGGATTTTCAGTGACCAATCAGATGTTAACTCTTTTGTAAAATGTGGTTCCTCCACCTGTTGTACTACCCATAGTCCTTTGCTCTAATAAATTCACAATCCAGTTGCAGATGAATGCACACTTCTTTACATCCTGTCTTTAACAGTTATTGTGCTGTTAAACGGTAATGTTACACAGCTTTCATGCCCCACCACAGAGGTGGCTGCATTGTGGTAGTGGGTAAAGTGATTCCTGAATGAGTGGGTAAAGTGATTTCTGAAGTGCTTTGGGATCCACCAGAATGAGTTGGATGCTTTACAGATGTACATGAGATTTAATCCAAAGGATTTTTCTAAGGACAAACTGAAGCAATGTTCTTACGAATGAATCTGTAGTTACACACAGTGAAGGGGGCCACTAAGCTTCTTTGTTAATTTTTTTTTTTAAAGGGCAATGAATTTGGTGCTGGATCAGCAGTCCTGGAGACTGTAGTTCTCTTTAACCACAGAGCAGGGGCACTACAGGCAATGGCAATGTCCATTCTCTTTGATCATCTATTACCCACTCCCAAAGTGCCTCGATTCTGTCCTGGAGTGGTAGATTGGGAATGGGCATTGGGAACCTAGTGGTAGAGCTCATTTCCCATGGCCCAATCACCCCTTGGTCTCTGCTGAGGCTGCCAGCCAGGGGCTCTCCTGTTCCAGGTGTGTCTGTGAGCGCTCGTTTGTTTCATGAGAGTGGAGTATTTTGGACTCTCTAATCGTGTACAGTTCCCTCCCTCTGTCCTACCATGGCTCTTTCACCTCCAGCTCTGAAGAGGCCCCCTTTTTATTTTGAAACCCTGCGCTGTAACCGTGCAGCTGTTGTGTAGATATGCCCTAACTCTCCTCCAGGTGGTGCAGGTACACAATCCATCCTCTGACCCCAGAATAATCCTCCTAGCCCACAAAACTGATTCTGGTGTCAGAGTTCTTTCCTCTCCAGCTGCGAGCCTGGGGGTTCATCTCGTAAGTGACACTGCAGCGTCTGGATAAAGTCACAGCCTAAGGGTGGTTGCCAGCTTGATTGAGGAAGGAGGGCAGTGGGCAGGAGCGGGGTGAACTCATGCAGAGAGGAAACATTTTCTCTGGCTTCCTGATGGAACAGAGGGGTCTACATGGGGGGCTGTGGTTACAACACAGATAAAAATTGTAGTAACCGTATCCCTGTTACGGGGATAAACCCTTGATCAGTCCAAGGTGTTAACCTGGTGTGGGGACACAAATAGGTCCCATCTACACTACAGCTTTATCCATGTTGAAACTGGGCTATGGGATGACCATGTTCTAACCCTGTCCTCTGCCAAGATTACAGTTGGAGTGTACCTGGAGCTTTCTGGCGTGGGTTAAGTCTCAGAAGAGAGCTCAAGGAATGAATAGGCATTGGGAATCAACTCCCCTCTCTGCCCCCGGGGCAGGGCTCAGGCATGGTGGTGGGGCAGTGTGTAGTGAAGTTTCTGTAACCACTGGGGAATGTATATTACAGGTCCCTGTTTATGCCTGGGCTACAGACAGAGTATCGCAGCCAGAGCTACAGAGCCTGGCTCTTTAGTTCAAGCTGTAGCAGCTCATGTTTTCACGCTCAGGAGGTCCCTGATTCAGTTCGTGGTATGGTGGCCATCAGACTTGCACTCCTGCTGGCCCGTGGCATACTTGTTTTGTAGTTGATTAGCCTCCAGGGATGTTAATCCAGCCAGGGCCGGCTCTAGGATTTTTGCCGCCCAAAGCAAAAGCAATTTTGGCCGCCCCCC